ACATATAGTTTATTTTTGAGATCCTAAAAATGTTGGGCAAGTAAATATTTTTTAACTGAATAAAGTTAAGTTTATATTAAAAAATATGCAATTACTTTAATTTCAAATAAATAAAAATAAAAACACATTTTTCACTTTTTAAAATATTTTTGTCCTTTTTTCAACTTTTTAATAAAAAAATAATGATCTGCATCAGAAGGTATAATATCATATATGTTTAGTTAAGAAAATAATGAATAATTATAATGACTTGGAGAGACTAAAGATCCCTTGTTATATTCTTGCACACGAGTCCCCAAACACATAATTTTGGCACTAGTTAGAACAAAAAATAATTTCATCAAATATACTTGAATTTAATATAGCATCAAATAGATGGTATAAAGTATTTACATTTTTTTAAACAATCAATCAAAGTTCACTTTCATAAAATATCAAGTAAATTTTTAAAATAGAAATCCTAGGTATTTTTTTTTCTTTTTAATTTAAAGACCTTAAACAATTTGTACATGATTTTAAAATTTATTGCAAATGGATAAGTTTTGAGTATTCTATATAATACATTGTAATATAATTAAATGATGATGATGATAATAAATCTGCCATATGTATTGAAAATATTAAATAATAAAAAAACAATCAAATAAATAACTATGTTTTTGTATTGGTATTTTCATGACAATTGTCCCGTCATTTCTAGCAATATTGAATTTTATTTTATTTACGAACTTCGCTGTAAAATATTGTCATCGTCGTTATTTTAGTTACCTATTAAGTTATGTAATATTTAAACAACAGCCTAATGGCACTTGTGTAATTTTCAAGTTCAAAATAGATTGAATTAATTATTTAAATTATTTAATTTATTTTTAACAAAAAAAAAAAAAATGTGTCAGGTAAATGGCATTTCAGTAAATCAAGTTGTTTGCTAATATGACACGAAAAAATACAAAATCAAATAATTAAATAAATATATGTTTAAATAGGGCTAATAGACTTGGAAACTACAGAACCGATTGGCACCAAATTTTACTCAATTATTCTTTGAAACTTGGGGAATGTTCTAGCTTTGATTTTTAACCTTAAATAGTTGATATACTGTGGATGATTTGGGTGCATGTTTTCAAAAGTCAAGTTTTAAAATGCCGAGTTTTAGAATGAATAGATTTAGAAAATCTATATTTTAAAATATGAAACTTTTAGAAAATCTGTGTTTTAAAAAAATGTTAAATGGTGTTTTAGAATATTAAATATTTTTGATTGGGAAGGAGAAATATCAAAATACAGAGTTTTTAAATAAAATACTGTCTTATTTTGTAATAAAATTTACGATATAGAATGTATAAATTATGATACACTTCCAAATCTGTAATAAGTTTGTTTGATTGGGAATACGGAAAATATCAATAAACATAATATTTATAAATATTATGCTTTGTTACTCAATAATCGTTATCAAATTTTTATTTCATTAATATTGCAAATTATTATCGTAGAATTACGATAGAATTCTATATTGATATAATATTATGTGATTATTTTATATCTGATTAAATACAAGAAATATCACAAAGTAGTTCACCTTAGTTTAGTGACGTACATCGTACCAAATACCTACGTAGTGTCACATAAATAATTATCATAAATAATTGGCCAAAATGCAAAATACAATTTCTAATATTACATTGATGTCGATGAAATCAACTCATCTAAAACATGATACGTTAGAAGTAAACGGGTATTTATACGTTTTCAATAAAATTTATGGCAAAATAGTTTATTATTGGAGATGCCGCAACTGTACAGCTAAGTTACAAACTACTATGATAACCAACACACACATATCCGATGATAAAGGTAAGCTATTTAGTATTTCCGATCACTGTCGTGGCCCAATTCCGCAGATAATTGAATGTAAAAAAATTAAAAATGTCTTAAAAAGAAAGGCAGCTGAGACTAACGATACACCAAGTTCTATGTACTAAGATTCAATTTCACAAGTAAAAAATATTAAAGTTTCTCAAATTTCAAAATGCTCAGCTAAATCAATTGTAAAAAGGCAAAGAAAAACAATTATCAAAGAACCAAAGCACATTTTTGATTTTTATGATTTATCTGTTGATATATTGAGTGGAAAGAAATTTTTAAATAAAACTGTTAAACGAAATGATGATGATTATACCTATCATGATTTTCACAACAATTGAAAATTGTAATTATTTAAAGAATTTAAAATTTTGGATTTTAGACGGAACTTTTAAATCATATCCTAAGCTTTTTAAACAATTTTATATTGTGCTGCAGGGTTCAATATCACGAGATGGAAACGAAATGTTATTTCCATTAGTATTTGCATTAATGACTGGCAAAGATAAAAATGTATATAACATTTTATTTTCTAATCTAAATTAATTTGCGAAGAAAATGGAATCTTTTTTAAAGAAAATAATAATTTGGAAATAATAACCGATTTCGAAATGGCAGCGATTAATGCAATCAATAACGTATTTCCGTTTGCAATTCATTCGACATGTTTTTTTCATTTACAACAGTCCATATATCGAAAGATTCAAGCGTTAGGTTTGGTTACAAAGTACCAAAATGTGCTAGAGTTTAATTTTCGAGCCCGTAAAATTGTAAATTTAGCATTTTTACCCCCTGAGAAAGTGAAGAAAGCGTGGAGTATTTTGAAATCTGAATTAGAGAACGATGAAATTTATTTAGTAACATATTTTGAAGAAAACTACGTGGTTGGAAAAATTAGAATGAGGTTTAGAAAAAAAGAAGCAACGCGTTACAAACCATGTTTTCCAATTGAAATGTGGTCAGTACATAGTCGAGCTGTCAACGAAAAGCCAAGAACATCCAATTCAGCAGAAGGTTAGCATAACAAAATACATCGTTTATTATCAACACACCCAGGTATACCCAGGTAAATGGACTTTCTAAAACCTGCCTCAATACCACTGTGGATCACGTTTCACGCAGTCACACATGCATTTCGTTTTGAATTCAGATAAATTTCGAATATTTTTTGGTTAATTCATAGGGTCGGCGGTTGCTATTAATTACAAAAATAAAAAAGACTGAAAATATAATAAAATATTTTATCAATACATATAAATAAATATATTTATGTTTGCTGTTTATACATTCAAAAACTACTCTATCAAATATATACCAACCAAGCGCTGTATCCAATCACCATAACGGATTGCCCATTTCGATCAATTTGGTCCACACAGTGATGTGTACACCGATGTAAATTTGCCCGTGAACGAAGATAGACACATAGCCACATAGGACACACCTTTATTACGCCATGTTTTACATTTATTCATTTTTCACGAGAAATGTCGGGTTGTAAAGCTTTCGAGTAACACAAATTGTAGTATTTTATTCTAAATTTTAAATATTAAGTATAAACACATCAAATATTTATATATATTAAAAAAATTATTTATTTTTTTTTGCATTTAATATAATAAATAGATATCCGGTAACTATGAAAATCAATTTTAATGGATCAATATGGGCATATGGGCATAAAATAGATTGACTTTGGAACTTTGGAGCCAGAGTGCTACGCATTCCTGTACATCCGGTAGTTTTAGCACTGCAATCATTATTCACCTGAGAAAATAATAGTGCTTGTGTAATTTAGTAGGTACTTTAATATGGCCATATTTGTATAATCGCATCTATTTCATTTACCCTATAATTAATCTTAAATTGCAACAATTAAATTGTTTTATTCTTGTTAAATTTCAAATATTTTATTTAATCCAAATATCAGACCTATTATCAAAAAATATATACTTAATGAAGTAAACAAACATTTTGAATATTTTAAATTTTAAACGGAGCTAGAGATATATTATTGATTTTAATGTTTTACAATAATGTGTCGTTTTTTTTTCTTTTGTCTACCATCATATGTTATTCAGTAAATGTATTTAAAAATCACGAGTGTTAAATATTCTCTATTAAAATGCCATATGTATCTAAAAGTTGTAAAGTGTACAATATACACTTCTTAAAGACTAAAGTCATCTATCCATGTACATATCAGTACCAATATCCTTAATTTTTTAAAATATTTTGCGCAGTTAACCTTACTTTTTCAACACGCACATGTTTCAATTTGATTTTGTATCAATTAGTCTATTCTTTCATCTACTTAACCAACCATCAGTGGAATCAACCTGCTTGTGATCCTTTTTTTGTATTAATTTCTTCGGCTTAACTCAACATGGGATCAGAAATACGAACACTACGATTCGCCATTAATGGGGTTCATTTACTTCTTTAACCCATCGATTGAAGGATCTTCCTCTTCACTTTTACGCATTTAATCAAATGTTTGATTTGAATTAGAGATTTTGCCTAATATGATTACTTCGTTGTAGATTTTCACAATATTTCGTATACAGATATAAATATATAATTATTCAGCTATTTGACGTTGAGATGTGCCTAGCAAAAGCTTTTTTATATGGTCTAAGATTACGATGTTTCGGTCAAAGTAAATAACTTTTTGAGGCATAGTTACACGTTGAAATCCACCTATTAGTCAGAATTTAATTAGATTGTCGTTGTTATTCCGAGTAAATGAGAGAAAGCCACAAGTGTACCATTTATTTTCAGTTCTTATCGCTTGAATTTTCCATCTTTTTATACGATCTGTTATCTGTGTAACATGTACTCAATATTAATCTTTAATAAAATAAAAACTGCTCCCATTAGACGATGTTATTTTTAACCAAATAAACATACACTGAAATCAATGAAATCGGAACTAGACCCCATTGTCCATAATAATATAAAAAAAATCTCACGAATGATATTATACTCAAATGTAAATGATACTTCAAAATTAAAAATAATAATCTTATAAAATAATCAAAATTATTTAATTAACATTGAATAAATTAATTATAAATATATTTTAAATAGGTTTATCCATAGCTTGACTTATGACCCTATCATCCTGCATTAAATACATTTATATAATTTTATTTATTCTTCAAATCATAATAAATACAAAATACAATTAATAAATAAAAATTTCTGAATGCATTGCATTAATCATTCATAAATAACAACACATAAATATATCACTTATCTTTAGTATTTCTGCCTAAATAACTTTCAGATATTTCTCTTGCAGCCACATTGGTTCTCAATGCAGATGGCACATTATTATGAGTTAAATATAATGAACCAGCCAACAAACTACGCCCAGTAGATGCTAACTGCTCACAGACTAATCGACAATTCTTTCCACTATTTCCGGCTAATGCTCGACGTGTAAGATTGTTCATCATCTCTTCACAATCAACCAATTGTTCTACCAGACCATATTCAAGAATAGTGTCCAATACCAAATCAGGTAGTTCCTTAACATAACAATTTATATAATATATATATATATATATATATATATTATTATTACATTATACTGATTTTTAATTACTTACGTGGTTAGTTTGAAAATAACTTATAGCAGCTGCTTCTACAGAACTTTCACCAGATAATAAATACAGTAAATAAAGTAAAATATTGTTTACATTTGGAATACTACTTAAATCTTCTAATTCCTATAAAAGTTACAGTATAGTAAAATTAATATGAAAATAATTATCAAACTAATAATCATAGAAATATAATATACCTGTTTAGTGAAATTGTGTTTACTACAGGTATATTTTAGTACAGATATTGAGATTCGAAACTCATGAGGTTGAAACACTAATAACCGCTTCACAGCTTCAACCCATATTTCATTAAAACTGAAAATCAAAACAATTTATAAGGTAACATTTTTTTTTTTTTTTCGTAATTAGTTATAAAACTCTAAATTTATTGTTTTATCTTTCTAATGATAATATATTTTTACTATGTTATAGTTTAAAATATTTGTGAAAATCAATTGAAATATAATATTATGATCAAAATACACTTTTTGATTTTCAAATAGTATATACTATTGTTTATTAAGTATTTATTTAATAATAATAATGAATTTATAATCAAAAAAAAATTAACAAATTATGTTGGACAGAGTTATCTATTCTGTTAGAGTAAAAACATTTTAATAAATAATATAAAATTACATTATAAACCTTTAATCAATTATTAATATGTAAATATATTTTATCATCATTTTATACAATATGATCAATAACCATTTAAATAAAATGAAAATATGTCCAACCAAAAAGTTTATTTTATATGATGTATGACTCACTCTTTTGTCTGGGATAAAAGCTTAACAATTTTATCAACATCAGCTGGTGATTTAATCTGTTCTATTAACTGGTTGAAATCTATATTATCTTGGCAGTCATCAGACACTGAAGATGTCTATAATATTATTTTTATAAGAAAACTTTACCAACTTATAATAGGTTAAATTAAATTAATTATTAAAAATTATAAATAAAAGAACTTACAGAGCGAGATAGTTTAATACAAAGTTGTATTTTCTCTGGTAGACTTTTTAACAACCTATTTAGTACAGGAGCGCTACACCCGGTTTGTTGGGCTATGGAAAATGTTTCATACGTAGTTTCAGGGTTTAACAATAACTTGTAATCAATATCTATAAAAAGAATAACAAATATTAATATTTTTGTATTCTTAATAGTTGATAATTTTTACCTGGAATAGTACTATGAACTCTCTTCAGCAGTTTAATATGTTGAATAGGTGTCATATCATCTTCAAACTGCCTTTGATCATTAGGATTGATAAAATTTAAAACAGTATAGTAAGCAATCAAAACATTATGGTTAGTTCCTGGCACGTCTTCATAAACTTCGAGCATAAGACTATTATTAAATTGTTGGTTATTTTGAATCAAACTATTAAATGTCATTGTTGTTAAGATTTCTTCAATATTTCTTGCAGGTATTGTGTGTACACAATGTTTTAAAAATTCTAACAGTAATTTATCATTTATATCTAATGATTGCCTACTGCATATTTCCAGTGCATTTTCCAGATGTTTTATTTGGCCAGTTCTATTGTAAAAATGTAAAAATATAATAATTTTTCAATAAGAAAAAAAAAAAAAGATTTTAAATACAATAAATAATAATAAATAATACAAAAAGAAATCTTTACCTAGCCATTCTTATAAGTTCTTTGTTCATTTCTTCTGGGCTTACATTCAAATCCAAACCTTTTGCACATTTACTATACAACAATGCATATTTACGTAAATATTGTTCTTTTTTCGGATCAAATACTGAAGATTTAACATCAAGATCAGACATAACTTCTTTAATTAACTAAAAAAAATTACATTTAATTATTTATATTAAAAAACAGTATAAGAGAATTTCAAAGAACTAAATGCTTTTTTATTGTACTTCTTTGTTTTAAATTTTTCTTTTCTTAGATAACTATAAAAAACTTTATCACTATACATTCATTAATATAATTATTATAATCAATAAGAAAGTATACTAAATGTATTCAAAGTAATAATTAGTTATAAACAATCTTTATTTCTATAGAAAAATTCAGAGTAAGTCAGATTAAGACTATTTACTTTTTAAATATTACTATAATCACCTTACCTCCTAATCATAGTTTTTATCATCAAAATACCAATTATATCCAATTTTCAACTATAAACCTCCCTCAAAGGTGAAAATCAAAGCATTTATACTGGCTCAAAAATGATGAAAAATAGAATAAAAACACATCATTGTAAAATAAATACATTCATCAGTCTGCTTAGAATCAAAAAATAAAAGATATTTTTTGGGTAAATTGAGTATGTTATTTGTTATTTCTTGGTAATAGTTAAACAGATTTTGTCTTGACATAAGTTTAAAATGAAAAAAATATAAATATTTTATATTTTTACAGGATTACAATATTATAAATAATTAATTAATTACTGCTTAGTATTTATATTTTATACTGTATACATTTTTTTTTATTTGCAAAATAAAATTACTTACTTGATCAGTAGGTAATTTGAAAATATCAACATCAACCATAAATTTATGTGCATAACGTAATGCATAAATATATAGGGCTAGTTTAGTACTAAGAACACCTTCGCAATGATTGAAACACTCATCTACAATATCATCGTCTGATATATGCAAAAAACATAATACTGACATTTTTGAATCATATCCAAGATATTTGAAACCATAAATAGCCAAAACTATAAAATACAATTTAAATATAATACTTAAAATATTCAAAATATCTGACATAGAAATTTACCTTTGTCATAATTTGAATGATTATAAGAGATTGTAAGCAATTCACTTAAATTAGACAATAACTCATCATGTGATAGTCCAACTTCAACACAATTAGAACAATTTAAATGTAATGAACTATCATTATTTGATACAGCAAGATAATTGATATTTTTAATTCTAATTTTCAAACATATGTGTAATTAACAATTTGATAAATTAATGAAATAATAGTAATTAAAATACTAACATTGGAACATCTAATTGAGAATCAAATCCAGTTAATTGTTCAGTATTTTCGTTCTCCAACAATTTCCTTTAAAATTAAAATCAAAATACTTGAAAAATTAAATTTTTTAAATAATTATTACATTAAAATTCATTAAAACCTATATCATTTATATATTCTCTGTTTTATATACTTGTAACATAGCAAATTTACATACTAACTCCTAGTAATTTACTTATAGTTAATAATAGAGTAAAAATACATATTATCAAATTTTTAAAAGTCTACATGAAATGTGACCAAACATATTTTTATACAGAAACGAGTTAATTTAAAAAAAATATACTCAAACTTATTTTAAAACAATAATATACTAAAAAATCTTTTTATTCGGACAATATTTATACTCATCTATAAATTTGATATAATGTAAATTTTATCTTATACTGACTATAATTAAATTTTAGTAAGAATCAAGAATGTATATTTACTGTAATATATTTTTTATAAGATAAAAAAATACATGTGGCTTAATATCCTTTAAATTTTTAATATTATTAAGTTAATGTTAATCAAATATTTAGATTACAAAAATAAACAAGAACAATTTAAAATACCTAATTAATATATAATTAAATCACCTTAATTCAATAATTGAAACAATTTTTTCCACAGGACAATTAAGCACAGCAAATGACAATACTTTTATTTTCAAATTAATATCAATAATATCATTATGTACTCCTAATTCAATGCATAATGGCCATACTGATGGTTCATTTTTGTCCATCAATTGAACACATATTTTAGAAGCAAATTTCAAATCATTAACCTAGAAAAAAAGCTTAAATTAAAATTATTGATACTCATTATACATAATAAAAACACATATTTCAATATATTACTTGATATGCAGCCATAGCACATTTGAATAAAATATTAGATTCGGTAGAAATAAAGTTTTCATGACATCTAATATCTAACTTGCTAGCTAATGTTATCAATTTTTTCAATAATGTGTAATTGTTTGGTTTAGAAGATAAAGTAATGTCAATCAATTTCCATTTATTTTTACATTGACGCACTATAAAATATTACGTGCATAGCATATTGATGTAATAATCATAGTTTTACATTATTACTTTAAAATATAATTACCTTGGACTGGAAGTAATTTGGTACTGAGAGTATTAAATATTGTCATAGCAGAAATTAAATTCCATTCGTGTACTAGTAAATCTTCAACATCAGGTATAATTTGTAAACATAATCTAAAAATAATAGTTTTTTTTATTATTATTACTAAGAATTATTCCAGCAATAAGATCAAATAAACTTTAAAATAGTTATTTAAAAAAATGTATGTTGATTAACAAGTTGTGATTAAACTTTTAAATTAAAATGTTAATGATTAAAGTAATAATTTTCAATTCTATAAAAAATATAAATAAATCATTAATTGTATTTACTTTGCTAAGGCCATTGATGCATCATTAAAAGACTTTGATTGATCAAAATACATATAAAATGAATCTTTAACAAGCTTTAAACTCAAATGCACTGGTAATTTACCCAATAAAATATCTTTACTCAATGGTATTATTTTTTGATTTTGACTACCCAACAGCATTTTTACATACTCCTAAAAATTTTAAATACAAGTTAAATATTTACAAAATAACAAAAACGTTAATTAATTTGTTTTTACCTCATAACATATTTCAGTTGAAAGTGTTGGAAAACAAAACTCTGCTATTTTTAACAAATCACTAAGTATATTTGACCAATACTTTTCAGTTTGATTTTTTCTAATAAAAATAATTACAATTCAGTTTTAAAAAAAAATATAAATATTAATAATTTTAAATTTTTTAATTTTTAAGTTGCTTACATTGATGTATATTCACAAATAGATATTATGACTTTTCGAAAAAAATCACTATTGGTTAAATTGTCAATTAACACTTTGAGAGGATGTCTAATACCATATGTAAGTAATAATTTTGAAGCATTTATAATTTGCCTTGTATCTTCAAGTTTTTTAATACTAGGTTTGTTTTCAATAGTGTTTCTGAAATAAAAATAATATATTTAAATTTTTATTATATTTAATAATTAAATAACCCTTTAAATTTTACATTACTTTATACTTTTTAACAATGACAAAACTATGCTTTGTGCCTCATCTAATTGATCAGTTCCTGTATAAGTATAAATGCATTTAAGTCCTAGATCTATTTTTGTTTCATCTGATATATTTATGCACCAACCATTAATTTGAACATATTCAAAATACTGAAATTTCCATAAAATTATTATTTTTATTACTTTTTTTTTTAACTATTATTAACTATAAAAATCAATAAAAAAAAAATCACCAGTGACAATTTTTTTAAACAACTTTGACTTGTCTGTATTAGATATTGTTCCAACAAATAAAATGTATTTGCTTTAGTTTGAATAAATGGTAAGAAATAGTTTGTTAAATTATTCAAGAATAAATTTTCATCACACTATAAGTTACAAAAATTTTAAATTAATTATAAAGTAAAAAAAAATTGTTTAACTAATTTACAAACTTTTGACATAAACAATGATGCTTTTTCTAGGGTGTTCAATTGTTCAATATCTTCCAAGAACATATTCTCTAAGCCGACTTCATATACCAAGACTTCTAGAACGGATAAATCTTCATGCAACTGTTCTAATCCCTAATTTTTTTAAATTTGTATGTATATTTATAAATATATAAATGTCAATAAAAATAAAAATTAGATAATTAAATTTTTACCTTAATGTTGTTTTCACGAGCAATGGTAGCCATTTCTAATGTATGTTGAACTAATCTTGTACATAACTCAATATTTCTAATTCTTATTGTATACCAATGAATGAGATCGTGTTCAGTTAAAAATACAGTTTTTATATTCTCAAAAGTGCCAGTTAATAATTTAAATCTATCAGACTCACACCAATCAAGTTCTCTTAAGATTTTTGATTCTAAAAGTATCACTTTTTTTTCAGATGGATCCCATACTGGCAATAAATGTCTAAATTAAAGAAAAAAATGTATTTAATATAATTTATACATTTGATTGCATAAAACAGGAGGTTATCTGTACCAAGTATTCTAAAAATAAATGTTTCATAAGCAGCATTATTATTGACAGGTAGGACAAGTAAAACAAATAATTTTGGTTCAAAATAAATCACTGAACATTGCTATGTAGAAACTAAAAAGTATTGAAAAACACTAGATGCATTGAAAATAAAATTTGACGTATAATAATAAACAAATGTATTAATAAAAAAATTCACTGATTTACATAATTGCATACATGAAGTTTAATTTCATGTCTACACATAAAATAGGGACCTCTGGTAAAAACAAAATTAAAGAAAATTATTATTTTATTATAATTTCTAATTTAGTAGAGAAAAAAAATATATAAATAACATTTTTAAAATTTAAATTTCTATTAAATGTAAGACTAAAGAACTTGTCCCATTATCAAAAAACGTTATGTTGATTTCGTTATCAACACAATTTTTTTTTTTTAAATCACTACACTAAAAACATAACTAATTGACTCAAAATTACAGTCATTGATAAAGGAATACTTTTCAATGCATTAGTTATACATAATTATTGTTCCATATTTACAGTTCAGTGGACAAAAATAACAATAATTAATTTTTATTATGTACTTATTTGTAAAGTTACATTCATTATACCTGTATAACTTGAGCATTAGTGTCTCTGGAAAATCATTCAATATGTCCAACCAATATGGAAGAACATGATCACTGTAGTAGGTAAAAACAATAGAAACTGCGTCAACTTGGCACTGTCTAGCTAATTGCATAGCCCACTGTAAAGGACTCAATTCCCTAAGATGTTTATAAGTTTGAGCGCTGTAAAGAGCTTCACTGTTACCATCCATTTTTTTTAAGATCATTTCATAAGTAGTTAGTTTATCAGAGTAATTTAAAAGTTTTAATCTTGATATGATAAATTCTTTACCTTCTTGACTAAATGTACCTACTTATAAAATATTCAGAAATTAAATTATAATCTATATTATGAAGTTTTAAACTTACCAGTGTTTCTAGATTCTATACTTAGGTATGCAGAGAAATCCGTTATTTCTAAACCATATGCGATCAATTGCTTTGCTCCAGTTAATGTTTCAGAAACCCTATTGCAACACTCGTATATAATCCATTGTTTATCAGATACTTTGCTCTTAAATACAGAAAACAAATTAAAAATGTAATTTATTTTATTTTATTTTTTACTAACCAAAATATTATTAATAGTTTCTTCTAGAACTGAACTATTACACCATTGATGTTTATAAACTAAATCTTTATCTAAATTATATTTCAATGCAAGTTGTAATGCATCATCATATTGCTTTTCCTGTATCTGTAAAATATCAAAATAAAAAAATAGTATGACATCATATAAAAATATGTTTTAAATACCTCAATCATAAAGTCTAGTTGATTATGTAAGTTCAAAATGTGTTATGATATACAAATATTAAAATCAATTTGTTAATAATGAAAATGGCTATCATTTTTAAGTACTATTAAGAAATAAAAAAAAATGTATTACTGCTTTTTTTTTTTATAAATACTTTAACATTTTAATATTACTTTTTTCATGAGTAATTCTTGAGGAGTAGTTTTGGTTACAGCAATTAATTTGTACACATTAGCTGTAGCTGGTTTGGCATTTACACTACAATCCTTAAACACATTAAATCAAAACAAACATTTAAAAAAAAAATTTTTTATTTATTCATTAATTAGCAGTTAGCAACTTTTAAAATTCAATAACTTTCATTATCTTTAGGAGTTTTTAAAAACTTTAAAAATATTTCCCAACCTTATATCTTATAATATTATTAAAATTTATCTTGATAAATTATAATGCATTAAATGTAAATATTTTATTAAAATTGTAATATAAAAATACCTGAGAATTATTGACAGACTCTATTGTTTCATAATCAGCAACAACAAAATTATTGCTATTATATGAACCACATAATTTGAAATTAAAAGGATTCATTTTAGTAATAACTACACTCTGTTGACCTTTTTCACGGCAAATGATAAGAGTGCCATCAAAGCAACCCAAAATTAGAAGCTGAATCAAAAAACATCTTCTTAATCAACAATATCTTAGTTTAAATATTTTCTATAAAATCAAACAAAATATATACCTCGTTACACCACCACTCAATATCGACAATGCCACCCAACTCTTTTTGATCATTTATAGACCAATTCTTGCAAATACTAAAAATTAAAATTATTAAAACTATAATACTTATAAAAAAGTAATAATAGTTGTAAGATTTTAACTATTAATATAATGATACAAACACAAGTGTTTACAATATGATTAAGAATGAATATTAGTACATAGTAACACTTACTAAATTCTAAAATATTTTTTGAAATACAAAATTGTAAAATTTTACCCTTATTTAATTAGAATTGTATTCTACCATTTAATTTCAACAATTAAACCATACTTCAAAAATTAGGTTCAAAGACAACTCTTTTTAAACCATATCAGTTATTACCTACCTTATTTCTGGAAAATTCCAAATGCTAACTGTTCTGGTTCCATATAAACACGCTAACAATGTAGATGAAGGAGATAAGCTCATTTTAATAATATATTTCTGCAATTCAAAATATATAAAATAATAAATTTAAATTTAGTGTATCAGAAAATTAAAATAACTTACATTGTTTTTACGAAATATCGTATTAATAAACCTAGATAAAAACCCATCCTGTATAATACTTGAAGATAAAACTGGATTGTAATATGGCTCATATGAAATTATTGACCATAAATTTAAACCAGAATCATTTAAGTCCTAAACATAAATAATTATTTAAAAAATAATAGTATTAAAGTTTTAACAAAAATTTTAAAGACCTACATAATGAGATAATTTTTTAATAAACTAAATTTTGATCATTTTAATCATATTTTTTATAGTGTCAACAACACCACCTTCAATTAAAATAGCCTATCCATCTGATCATCTTTTAAATTTATTGTATTTAGTGTACACAAATTAAAAATAATAAATTTTATTGGAAAAAAAGAAAAGCTTATGTAAGCTTCTCTCAATACTCTTAATCACTATTATCTGTTTAGAATTCGGTAATTTTCTCTTCAACCAAAATTATCTATACATTGTAATTAACTGTAATATATGGCCAATAACTAAAAACTTACCAATTTATTTTGTATATTTGAAGATGTAATTATATAAGATAAATCTAAACATGATGTGACAGATGTCAATAACGAAGCACCTAGTACTTGAATAAAATTAAACGTATGCTGAATTTGATAACCATACACAGGTGATACAGCATAGCTAGTCAACGATCCATTAGCACCAATTAAAATAAGCTCATATGACCTAAAAATAATTAAAATAACTTAAAATACTGTAGAATATTTCAATATTTAAATAAATTTAATAGAAAAACATGAATATGTAACCAAAATTGTAAGAAATACAAACGTACCATTTTGAAGAACGTGTCCGCAAATCTAAAAATACCATTTCTTTGGCAAATATACTATTGGTAGGTTGTTTAATACTGTTTTGGATCTTTTAAATACATACAAAAACAGTTTATATATTAAAAATTTAATTTATATTAATGGTTAAAGTATGCAAATTATAACTTTATCAAAACTAAATGTTTAACTCACAGACTTAATAACAAATAAATTTGAGGCTAAAAGATCATAACAAGCAATGTGACCATGTGTAGTGGCAATTGCAAAAATTGAACAATCTGGACTCCACGACAATACTCTTTTTGATGGGTATAAATCATTTGATATTACATCAGGCACTAAACAAATAATTTAAAAAAACTTTTTATAAATTTAATTAATAATACAATTGTATGTTAAATACAATATATTATGTTTATTAAATACTATATAAACATCTATCCAAATAATTATAGTTACAACTTACAAAGAAGTAATAAACAAAATATCATAAGATACCAATGCACCTCTTAAATTTAAAAATATATATTATTGTATATTAGACTACTTTCAAAAGAAATTGTGGATAAGGATAATACTAAATAAAAAATTAAATGAAAGATATTAGTAATCCAAATAGCCAAAAAGTATCCAAATACCAAATATCAATATATACAATCTAAATTTCAAGTTGAAACAAAAAATTATGATTCAAAATAGGTGGTTTAAAATCAATAAGAAATAGTAATCAGAGTATACTAAATAAGATATGCAAGTTATAGTAAAAAAAAAATTATGCATTCAAATATCTTACATGTTGCCTTAGCTAAAATCTTATTATAATGTTTTTCTGTACGCATTTCTAGCGTATTATGTTGCACAACAGATAAAACTTGACCATTGCCTCCAATACAAAACTTCCACGTTGGATCATTTGAAATAGATGTTTTTGAAGAAAAATAGGGTAAATATGTATATGCACTGATGTAATCAACAATACCTAAAGAACTTTTCTTGGAAGATTTTTTCTGTAAACAAAAGAATAGCAATAGGAATAAAAATAATTGAAAAATAAATTTTTAAACTGTTTGTCATTATGTAGGGAGTACTCGCCAAATCTATAGTTTCATGCCATTGAACGTATTCCGATACGATGTACAAAATTTCTTCGCTCATTTCAGGGAAATACCTATTACTTTATAACCAATATTCAATGTAACCAAAACAAATACCTATTAAAATACTCTAAGTAAAATTTGAAGAAATAATTAATTAACAGGTAAATAATAATAAAATAAATTATATATTTTTGAAAACATAAATGCCAGCGTGTTATCAATTATCATTTATCATCATCGAGATAAAATTCTTGATCATTATCACGGTTTAAGACAATATATATAAACGTTAGTAACGTCCAAGGTTTATGGATAAATCTATAAACATTGAGTAACGTCATGCTCAGTTATCATCAATATTATAAAAATATATTTAATGTACTTGTAATAATATTTATATCATATTACAACAAAGAAATTTGTGTATTTATATCATTAAAAAATTAAGCATAAATATTTAATAAATTACCTATGTCTAATTTATATTATTGCATTTAAAATATTTTTCCAACCGCGGTATATTTTAATGTGATTACAATACCTACAGTTTCTTTTGACAATCATAAAATGTAGTAAGATTTTCATAATTCATGACTCATGATTGTTAATCTGTCGCCATGTTGGCTTACCATGTTAATAACCACTTGTAAGCCGTAAGCTAATAATCTATATTATCTAATGATATGGTTGCAAGACATATTGGTCATTGTCATTTGCCGGCGCGATCTCACTCAAGTCTCAAAAATCTGAGCTATTAAGAACGACGAGAACTAATAGTTCATCGTCTCCGAACAGTCAAACCGACAATCAGTTTCGTCGTGTAGTATTACGGAAGTCTGAAGACGCGAGTAACACATCTATTTTTATCTATCCATCAAGTAAATATTCTCGAATACATACGTACCTATTGAATAAAATCTTAACTGTGTGATACTCGAATTTTAATCGTTATTAATTATTATAAGTTTTAAGTAGTATTGGGGTCGTTCAATATTTTTGGTTAAATTTATAAATAACTAATAATTAAAATTAATTTTATTGTATATTGCTAAATCTGGGATATTTTCCTTCTAAATTAATAAAATGTAAAAGCATATAATATTATGTACATAATAAAATTTATTTATTTTATATTTTATTAAGAAATTTATAAATAATTGTAATCATATTTTAGATTCTGAAGATTTTTATTTTTCTTAATTGAAATGTAAGAAGAATCAACTTGACTTAATTTTTACTATTCAAGATATTAATAAAAAATTTAAAAGATATTCTCATTGTTGAATTGAAATATTCATCATTTTACTCAAAATCTAAAATACTTAAATTTGTGAATAATTTTTAAAATATTTTATATTATTTATATTTTTATTTGGTACCTACATATCTAATTTAATTTAAAGACTATCAGATCATTAAATTAATTTATATTATTCAAATAATAATTAAGTAGTCAAAATTAAATTAGTTACTAAAATTGTTTTCAAAAAAATCAAATAAAACAACTCATTAGTTTTGTTTTATAATTATTATTACTTAAATGATAATCTTATTTTACAAACAAAAATACACATTTTGCTGATTTCTCAAAATAAAAATTCCAATGATTATAAATATTTTTAATTTTAACCTAGTTATAAATCATTATTTATGACTATGTTAATTTATTATTAATGTAAATTACTTTTGTTTTAGAAAATGAATGAAGCTATAAGATTAGATCTGCAAGATAAGGCTGCACACATAAGTTCATTAAACAAAACTCCAGCCTCTATTGTACAAGAATATGCAGCTAAAAATCGCCTTGTTCCTCAATACAATCTCATTCATAATGGTATTGCTCATAGTAAGATCAGCTTTAAGTATAGTTTGACTATGGATGATTATGTTGCTGTAGGCGAAGGGTCTTCCAAAAAAGAAGCCAAACATGTGGCAGCATTAAATCTTCTTAAATTTATGATTGATGATAAACCCCAATTATTAAAAACTGATTTTAAACAGTGGGATTTTGATAATCACGTGGTATCTCCATTTGATAAAAATATTAAAGAAAACGCTGTTGGAAAACTGAATGACATTTGTACAAATAATAAGCTGGGAATACCAGAATTTCATTTAGTTAGAGAAGAAGGACAAGCCCATGCTAAACTATTTACTTTAAGTTGTCATGTAGCTAAAATGATAGAAACAGCAACACACAAAACCAAAAAACAGGCCAAACATTTAGCTGCTGTTCAGATGGTAAACAGATTAATGTCCATTGACAAGTCACTGGTTATGGAAGCGGTATCGCCAGTATCAGATTCCAGGAAAGTCTTGGAACAAGTCGAAATTATCAAATCAGAGCAACTTAAAAAAACTATACCTATGGATGAGCAATTTACTAACTATCATATACTTTTTAAAAATACTGAATGGCTACACTCAGATACACTAAATAAAGTTATCAATCAGTACCACAAAAACGATGACTTTGACTTACCTGAATCTTTGAACATTTTGTACAAAATTGTCAATGAAACTGGAATGTGCTTGACTTCAATACCTATAGATGAAGAATTTATTACTGTAACATATCGTTCTTTTTTTATTTTTTCTATAGAAAATGTATACCCTCCTGTTTGTGGTGTGGGTGAAGCTGACACCATTGAAAATGCTAAATATGTTGCTGCCAAACGGTTACTCATTGCAATTTGTATATTATTAAATTGAAGACATTTCATTTTATTCTACAATAATTCAAGTTAAATAAACAAAACAAAAAAATGATTATATGTTAATTATTATTTCGTTATTTACATAATCAATTTAAAGTTTATCATGTTATCCTAATTTAACATAAACATAATGGTAACTAACAATATATAAATATTTCTATTGTTTTTATATAATGAATCATGTATATTAAACTGAAGTCATACATTGATTTATTACTTACTCAATTTTTATGTTATTGATATTATTTTTATAATTATATTTTTACAATGTTATAATATATAGATTTGATTTATTCATGAAATATATAATTAAATTAAATATTGAAATTTATATACATATGTATTGTAGTTTAATCAAGAAATTATTTACATTGACAATTTAAAAAAAAACTATGGCTACTCGTGCAGTTCACACGTGTACTGTGGTATAAAAATAATTTTGTAATATACCCTAATACAGGGACATCATTTGAAGAGGATCAGGATGTGTGGTTGCTCCTTTTTAAAATAATATACTAATTGGCCTACACCCTGCTGAGATAATGCTTAAAATTAAATCTTCTTAAATAGCATTTTAACTTATATTGACATTTATCAATATTGGTATATACAGTCAATTATTATGATTGTTAATTATTTATTAGGTATATTTTAGTTTTTAAATTGATTTTTACTGCCTATTTATATTGATGCAATGATTCAGTCCATAAAATGTAAGGAACTAATTTAAAGCAGGATAAAGCGTACATATACGTACATATGTCTATTTTTATAATATGGCCTGGTGAAATTTCAAAAAGACCTGCTTGAAACCTCGTACACCTAAAAAATAACCTGTAATGATGCCTCTAGTACTATGTAAGCAATTAACGACACGCATGATGGCGCATTATCGTTTAGACGATTGACAAGATAGAGCGACATAATAGAAATGGGCCCTATGCAGTGGTGCATACATTAAGTAGGTACCTACCCAATTAAATGTGCTCCAAAAAATTAAAATATTTAACAGGTCACATTTCAATGCTTGTAACTAATTTTTGTATGGTCGCCCAGGGCATAACCAATTTGTACTCAATGAATTATTTAACAGTTAATAAATAAAATTTTCAACATGAAAATTTGAAAATAAACAATTTTGTACAACAGAAATAAAATACATGATTTTTTTATTTAACAGACTATGTGCGTGATAATCAATAATAATATACTAAAGAAATTTAATAATTTTTTAAGCAAATTTTTTAGACTTCACTTTGTAATTCTTGTGAGCCATAGCACAAGCTACCATTGTAAAAGCATATAAATAAATAGCATAATACTATTCCCTTCAATCTTTCCTCCATCCACTACTCCAATTCTGAATCCGTGTCAATTTAATTATCAATTTCGTCCTGGAGACTGGTTTTGTTATATAATTTTAAAATTACAGCTGTTTTTAAGACATTTTGTATTTTTCTTGTTTAATATTTGTTAAATTAGTGATATTGTATTTATAATTGTTGAACTGTAATAATATTACTAAAAGCTAATATAAAAAAAAAAAAAAAATAGCATACTCTACCTTTTATAATTTACAATATTGAGAAATCAATATCTCCAAAGAAAATATTGGGCATATTAAGCTCTTCCGCATTACTCAATAAAACTTGATGAATGGCCCTGCTGTATTCAATACGAATAACCTCATAATCCAATATTGTTGTATACATTTTTCAAAACTATCAATATAATGATAGTTTAAGTATATAGTTAGTGTAGATTAATAACTCAGTTATTGAAGCCTTTGGACTTAAAAAAATGATAATACATAATGCAAAATAAAAAAAAAATAAAAATCCACTAAGTAGTCAACAGTCTACCCCAATTCCACTGTTTGTCCAATGCTTATGTTTATTATTATGATCAATTAATAAATAATATATGTTTAAATATTTCCAATATCCAACTATTACCTAAGAGTAAGTAATGATTATTAACAATATTCTATGAATATAATTAAATGGTTAAGGCATCAGTTTCTAAATAATGTTTGTAATAAAACAACCTGATTTTATTAGGTTGTGCTTTAATTAATTTCTACTTTAATTATGTGTTAATTAATTTATATTACAATTAATAATATTACCAATGACCTCCTCTTTATTTAACTTAAATATTAACCAAATGTGATTAAAAAAAAATATATGCCAAGTCTTCCTAATACTTTGATTTTTTCCCACAAATTTAATCACAAAACTTTCTTATCATTTATCTTGTTATAAATTATAATAATCTAGTAAACTTTGAAATATATATTTTTATAAAAAATTTAAAAAAAAAAATCACACAATAGAAAAATATACCCATATGAAATAACATAAAAATACATAATTTTATAAATATAAAAATATAGTTAAGAATAAAAAAAAAATTCCATATAAAATATTCACTTAAAAATCATAATAAAAGTTTGTTGTAAAATAATACTGAATCAAGTAAAACAAAAAAGATTATTACATTTGTTTTCAAAATAATTTTCCAATAAACTATTGCAAAATGTTAGTTAAATATTGCATTTTGGTTTTCAATAATCATATGTAATGCGCTTATATCGCGATTCATGTCTGGTATGGTACCTTTGAAATCAATTAAATCAGGCATTGGCATAAGAGTTGGAGCAAAAACTGTACTTAGATTTTGAGCCGTCATTTTATTTTCATCTAATCGTAAAGTCACCCTAAAAATAAAAATAAAAGTATTAAATGTGAAGTTTTATAGTTCCTACTTTATTTTGTTAAATATATCTGAACAAATAAACATACTTAGTAATTATGTTTCGTGTATTATCACTTTTCAAAGTGTATAGAATTAAATTATAAAACTAATTAAATCTAATTTTAAAGATTACAGTTTAAACATTTTATAAATAATTATACCATCATAACTACAGAAAAACAATTAACAAAGGATAAAAAAATTGAACATTTAAGTTATACCCAAAGTTACACCTAAAAAAGACCTCAAATTAATATTATTAAAATACATAATATATTCTGTTCAAGCTAAAAAATATACTTGATGATGGCACGTATTAGTTATACTAAGCTCAGGAAATATGCATTATCACCACAGAGTGGTATCTGTAGCCTAATGCAAGGATCTCTAAACTACGGCCCACGAAGAAGTTTTTGTTATCTGCACATATGCAAATTATCAGCTGTATCAGCTGTAACTTAAAAATTATGTGTTTTCATACATTTTGGCCCACTAAAAGTTTTTTTTTATTTTATATGGCCCTTTGATAAAAAAAACTTGGAGCCCCTGGCTTAATGTTTAATTAATTTGTGCTCCTGCGCACAAATTGGCTACCAAATATGTTATTTAATTTGAATAAGGTCTGATGTAATTATTTTAGTTTTGTATAAATCTATTATTATAAGGGTGAATTAATAAGAACCTAACAAATTAATTTAACAGTTAATTATAATTTACCTGTGCAAATGAGCCATTAAATAGCTTAAAGTATTATAGTGTGCTGGAGGCAGTTTTTTCAGAGCAGCTCTTACTTCAGCTAATCTTTCCCAGGACATTTGAATTTCTAAAAAAAAAAAAATATTTTAAATATATTAATCTAAAAATCAACATGTTTACCTACCTAAAGCTTGTATAACTAAAGGATGAACATCATATGTGATTAGTGGTATTGGAAGCAATCTGAGGTACATTTTTAAAATACTAGCTACTACATGTATATTTTCATAAGCTTGGTCATCCATTATTGTTCCTTTACCATCTGAAAACAATTATTGTAATATATTTTAGAAGCTAAATATACAATTCATAACATTTTTTAAACTTATTCTAAAACAATTTTTTTCCTAGATAACAAAAATATTCAAAAATAAAATTGTTTTAAATTAAATTTTTATACTACAAAATATATATATTTTTTAAGGGACTTTTGAATACATAGAATCATGAAAAAATTCTACCTTTATCTAAGGCTAATCTCAAACTATCCATTTCTTCTTGAAAACCAGATACTCTGTATATTCCTTCAACAGACATGCCACGCCTTTCAATTTCTTCAACACATTTGTCTACAACAAATGGTCTATTCGTTTTATAAGCCTTAACATGAGTAGTTAAATCAATGCCGAAAACACCTCGAAACAATTTTAAATCTGGACAACAATCTGGTGGCAACTTTTCAGAACACTTAAAATGTGCACTGAAACCACAATCTAAAAAAATAATGTAGTTAATTTTAAATATTAAATTTAAGAAACAACATCAAAACATTTATATTTACCTTCACATTTCACTCCTTGCTGAGTAAAACCCCATAAAAAATTACCACACAACTCACACCAATTAAGTCCTTTAAAGTTATGTGTTTTAAAATTGTGAGGCTTGTCATAATCCACTACTTCTTCATTATTTAACTGTCTTGGTTTTAGTTTTTTGATTGTTTTACGTTTGAGTTTATTTAGTGTCATATATGGACTTTTTTCATAACTTATTAAACTATGCATTAAATAAATGTATTTTCCAGCTTTAGATTCCATGTACAATGTCACCTATTGTATAAATAAAATGTTTATAAATTTAAAAATGATATAGTAAAAAATTACTTAATTTAACCCAATGCAAACAATATTGCTAAAAACATTTTAATTTTTAAAGTAAAAATATAATTATAAAAATGTTTAATATTTTAAATATTATCTAGTGAAAAATTTAATAATTCTAGTGAAGTTATAAAGTCAATAGTACACTTAAATTTAAAAAAAAAAAAAGGTAAGCAAATTGTCATCAAATTATTTTTATACAAACACACCAACAAAAAATTGATGATAATAGATATGCAATATTAATAAAAATATAAATTATATTAAATCATGAAAAATCATTTTACTTAAATATACAAACAATTTAATAAGAACACCAACTAAAATTTATTTATTTTTAATTAGAATAAAAAGATGTTTAAGATTTTATTTAAATAAGTAAGGGATCATATAACTTAATAATTATGAAAAATAAAAAATTTTACTTAATTACAACTTATAAGCTTTTTAATTTTTTTTTTTTTTAAGAACATTTTTATATAATTTACAGTGCTATAAGTAATTCTAACTTTGTTTTTATTTAAAATATCACTCATTATATTTAATTTAACTTACCAAACCATCTGCAACAAGATCATTAATTGTATTAAAACGTTTTTGTGACACATAATGTTGTCCATCATAAAATAATTTATAATGATGGACTTTTCCAAATATTCTAAAAAATTATAAAAATTAATAAGTTAGTTTATAATTAACAGCATGCAAAATGAATTATTCAAATTTTGTTTACTTTAATGATAGTGTATACATCTTATCGTCTGAACTGGTGCTTAGTCGTATAAGATAGTTACCATCATCTGTTAATAACGAATTTGCTTCTTTGTGATTCATTGCTCCGTGATATTCAAGACCATAGAAAAATGGACATCCAGACACAGCGCTAGGTGCAAATACTGGTTGAGGTTTAGGGGATTCTTGTTGGAGCTTATAAACTATAATAATGATTGTAAATAGGTATTAAATAAATTGCATTACTTATAATATGTAGTTGATACGAATACATACGATCAGGTTTCCAAACAATGCTGATAGGAGATCCATTTTCGTCGGTTACTGGAGTATCTGTGAATTTAAAAATGTAGAAATTACATCACCTTCTTATTTAATATATTTGTTCATTATAATATGACTAAAATGGCACTGAACAATTAGTTTAAAACGTATTAACAAAAATAATAATTGGTTATGCTTACCATATACTTCTTTACGTTCTTCCTTCTCCATTAGTTATACTCCAGAATAATAATTACAATAAATTAATTTTACATCATTAAATCTAAAACAAAGTTTGAGAAATGCTATGTAAATTTTTTAAACAGTCATATATTTAATTTTTTTCTTTTAAATTAGATACCAACAAGTGGTAATTGGTACAATTAACATAAATAATTGATTATTTTCTACCAAAATATGAACTTAATGCTTAAAAATATAATAGAAAAATATTAATATAAATTATAAATGAAAAAAAAATTTAAATACCTAATAGTTGGCTGATACAGAAAAACTAATTCTTAAAGATCATGTTATATCTCATTGAGTAGGTATTGATAACACTAAATTTTTAACATATTAAATGAGCACTCACAGCTCTCAGTAAGAAACTATTCAAGTTTGAGTTCTTATCATTTACTTAAACATCTTATCAGAGAATCACGATTTTAGAATACTATAATATATATATATATGTACTTATTATATTTAGTAGAATGTATTTTTAACCCTACAATACATGTTTTTTTATTAAAAAACTGTTTTAGGATAGTTTACACCTGTAAACAATAATTTTAATTTTAAAAGTTGATAAAGTTGGTTGTTTTTCTAGCGCAACATCATGCAATTACTAAACAAAAAATATATTTTCATTTTTTTACTTATATAAAATTTTGTCATAATATCATAGATACATAAAATTATTCAATACATACATATACATTTATGTATTACATAAATAGATTACACAATGTTTATTTAGGTAATAGATAGGTATGATACTTTTTGAAGCACTTTTTTTTCATTTCTAATACATACTTCAATTTAACATTTTTCACACTCTTGTCGTGTGTATCCATTGTAATTAGGCATTTTACAGCGGCTTCTCGTTGGTGCATTTATCGATCAGTGATCAATAAAATCCATGCGTAGATCTTTGTTTAGTTTCAAAGTATTAGGTTTCTTGTATTTTTGTAGATGTGCGCTTTCAATGGCATTTGATGGCCTTTCTCTAGTAAAAATTGATTGACTAATTAATTTTGCACAGAAATATTATCAAATTGTTTTTTAAGCGCAAGTCACATCAAATAAATGATAGAAAATTCTTAAGTATCGTATATAACTTCTTAGTTCTTATTTTAATTTTCTGCTGTCCTAAGAAGCATAGGCGCAAATAGGTAGTGTTTTTAGTTTAGGGGGACTGAAGGTAAAATCCATCCCAAAAACCTTAAAATTATAATACATAACAATATTGACTAACTGACGAGTCATTAATATTTGGGGGGCTATAAAGAATTTAGGAGGGCTAAGCCCCCTAGTCCCCCTCTATTTGCGCCTATGCAGTAAGAAGCAATCTAACAGACAACAAGTCTACTTCTCTCATATTTTTATTAGATAGGTACACTCGCCGACTTGTGATATGAAGACAGTCCATTATTTCTATAAATTTATTTTCCGTTTTTGATTATTTTTATATTTTAGATATCGGATCGATTTCCACAAACGTAAATAGTAAAATTACCATCTTGTTGTGACACTATGCATATGGAAAAAACTTCTTGATTATTAATTTTTGCTCAACAATAGTCTGACAAATCTCATAGTTATTTTTAAAAATCCTTGTCATTAGATAATAATACAATGCTTAGGCGATTAAATATAAGTACCTTGTTCGTAACTAAATTCCAAGTCATATTCGGAATCAGACGGAAGTTCATTTTCCAACAACTGTACTATCTCTCTATCAAATATTATTCTTTTACTCATTTTGAAAAAAGTACAAATGTATGATGAATAAAAGTAATAAATAATGAAACATGCAAAAATACAGAACTGAAATACATGGATAAAAAAATATACATGACACAGGTATTCCCGTGTTATGTTAAATGGACACTGTTCCGTATATAAACAACAACCATGCATTTTTAATTTATAAATAAAATATTAACTTATTTATATAACCTTGTAAATTATCCAAAGTTCATATATATATAAACACGGTTACATTTTTTTGTCCTCTATTTGCATATTTTACGGTCATAAATGAATGAAAAACCCAGAGCCCATATAACATTAGCAATCCTCATTTTCGTGTAATATGATTTATTTTACTTTAATGTTATTTATGTTTACATGGTATTTTACATACTTTTTACACTTGATCACTATGTACTGTGTAAAATTATCACACATGACTCACTTTGTATACTACTGTCTACTTTACGTAGGTATATAATACAATCAATAATCTATGTGATTATTATGCATTATTCCTAGTAAATTATAAAAAAATAATATGAATTGTACTGACGGTGTTTTAATTTGATTAAAAATGATCATACGATTACCCTTTATGATTATCTTACCGATTTTTAATTGTGTTCACTCTTGTATTTGAATATTTTGAATTTTTATAGTATACATACTATCGGATGACTGTAAGTTAGGTAGGTTATGTTATAAGTCTAAAACATAATCCACTGTTACTGTTTACGGATTAAATCCGTTTATGAGAGAATGTTGCTTACGATAATATCTGGTAGGGGTCAATGGATATTTTGGTGTTTTCAGTGAAGAATTAAACATTCTTGTTATTGCACAAACACATGCTCTTGGCGAACGAAGTTGCGATGAACAAAAATGTACCTAATCAATAATCATAATATCATAATAAAATTATGAACACTACAGTTATGTATGTATTTTGTCTATATTGTACGCCGAGCAACACTTCGTGCTGTTTACAAATATATTTAAACCAAAATACTACAGACTAACTTTAAATGAAAAATATATTGAAACTGCTATCGACAGATGTTGCCAACATGCTTTGATCATAAAAATTAATGTTTTTGAAAGTTTTTTTTTTTACGAATTAAATGGACGCCACCGCCTTTAATATGCAAGCTTAGTAGACTAATAGTAGTAGTAGTTTTAATTATAATCTATAAACTTTGAGTCAATACTTACCATTCAACGTTTATTACTATACATCATCACTTCTCGATAATACCTACCAGTAATATTAATTTTATAATATTAATAACTTTTGGACCACATCTCTCAAGATTCGTGCAATTAAAAATGTATACAAAAATCATAATGTAGATTAGCGCACACAGTTATATGCAAACATACAACATTGAACATATTATGCATAAAATATATATTACGAATGGCGCATGTGTGAGTAAATAACTATTGCAGGGATTAACGCCTGTTAACATTTAAGAGATTACTAAAATAAAAAACGTATGTACCATGCAGTAATTGTAATAAAGATAATGATATAACACGTTAGTACTTCTTTTGTAGCACTATTTTTCTGCCCCAGGAAATCCACAAGAATGTTTATCGTGGGCATTATATAAGATTCCTTTGGACTTTTACTTAATAATCTCAACCGTGCACAACAATAAGTAACCAATGTGTTCTTTTCAAGATTATTATTTTTATTATACATTATTGTTATAATTGTATTAATTTAATAATATAACACCTTTGAAAGTATACAAATTGATTTAACAAAAACAAACGACCAACTACAACTACCATATTATTATCTTTAGGTTAAAAAATATCTCAGTATTACCATACTATTGAAACATTGATTAGCAATAACTAAAATTTGTAAGATTTAGGTGTAATCCATGTTGACATGGTATGGTCATTTTTATTTATTAAAAGTATTACTCATAAAAATGGGTATAGCTGTAGAATATTGGGTTAAATAATTAATAAAAATACAATATATAAAATTAAATAAAAATGTAATTATTACAACAATTTTAGTAAAGAATTAAAATATAAATCACAATACCTACAATTAAATTAATAAATATTTAATTAAAACATTATATTTTAATTAGTAAAAAAAAGGTTCAAACTTAAAACTAAAAACTCATTTATATTTAATAAAAAAATCTAGAATTAGTGATTCAGTAGTTCAGTATCCACGTGACTTAATATTAAAATCTAACCTTTGTTACAATGCAAGTTATTACTTACCGGAACAAACATAAATATGTATATGATACACGAATTACAAGCTAATAAATAAATATACATATTTTAAGAAAACTTAAATATTAAACTAGAAAAATCAGAGCTAGATATCTCATATAACTTAAAAAATATATCTAGAATGTAGTTAACATTAGTATTAATTTGAGATGGAATTGTTAAAACAATTAATCTACTTCTTCTACGGTAGGTCCTCCTCCTCTTGAACCCGGGAAACCATGAGCACCAGAAGGTGCGCTACCGGGTTGTCCCGCACCGTGGATCTTCATCATTAAAGCTGAGCAGCTCTTTTGAATTTCTTTTAATTTGTACTCGTATTCGTCTTTGTCTGCTAATTGATTGTTATCCAACCACTGAACCACAGCGTCGCATTCCTGTTTTCCGGTGTTCTTTTCAGATTCGGTTAACTTGTCGCCGGCCTCGTCTAAAGCTTGTTTAACACTAAACACATAGCTTTCTAACTGATTTTTGGCCGCGATCTTGGCCTTTTGTCGTTCGTCCTCTTCTTTATACCGCTCAGCCTCGCTAAGCATACGATCGATTTCGGCTTGAGATAGGCGACCCTTGTCGTTCTTAATGACGATGTTTTTGGAGCGTCCAGAGCTGTTATCTTTGGCTGAAACGTTCAAAATACCATTTGCATCCATATCAAAAGTCACCTCGATCTTGGGTACACCCCTAGGGGCCGGAGGTATGCCGGTCAGGTCAAATGTTCCCAATAGATTGTTGTCCTTAGTCATGGCCCTTTCTCCTTCAAACACCTGAATGGTGACTGCCGGTTGGTTGTCAGCGTAAGTAGTAAACGTTTGGGTTTGTTTACATGGAATAGTGGAATTGCGTTCGACGATTTTGGTCATCACACCACCCGCGGTCTCGATGCCCAAGGACAGTGGAGTAACGTCCACGAGCAACACGTCTTGAATCGCCGAACTCGTATCGCCGCTAAGAATAGCCGCCTGTACTGCAGCGCCATAGGCTACCGCTTCGTCGGGATTGATGGACAGGTTGAGCGGTTTGCCGCAGAAGAAGTTTTGTAGCAGACTCTGGATCTTTGGAATTCTCGTCGAACCACCTACAAGCACCACGTCGTGTATGTCTCCCTTGTCCAATTTAGCGTCCGCCAAAGCCTTTTCCACTGGTTGCAGAGTCGACCTGAACAGATCTGCGCACAACTCCTCGAAACGAGCTCGGGAAACCCTTGTGTAGAAATCGATACCTTCCATTAAAGCATCAATCTCTATAGTGGCCTCCGAACTTGACGACAACGTTCTCTTGGCCCGTTCGGCAGCTGTCCTCAGTCGTCTCAACGCTCTTGGATTGCTACGTACGTCTTTTTTACATTTCCTCTTGAACTCGTCGGCCAAATGATTCACCAGCCGGTTGTCGAAGTCTTCACCGCCCAAATGCGTATCACCCGCCGTCGATTTTACTTCAAATATCGAACCCTCGTCGATCTGCAGAATGGACACATCGAATGTTCCACCGCCTAGATCGAATATCAACACGTTCCTCTCTCCTTTAAGGTTCTTGTCCAGACCATAAGCCAAAGCCGCAGCTGTCGGTTCATTGATTATTCGCATTACGTTAAGGCCAGCTATAACACCCGCGTCTTTGGTCGCCTGTCTCTGCGAATCGTTGAAGTACGCCGGCACCGTGATTACAGCGTCCGTCACATCACGGCCCAAGTACGCTTCTGCCGTCTCCTTCATTTTCATCAGCACCATTGAACTAATTTCTTCTGGCGCAAACACTTTCCGTTCACCTTTGAATTCCACTTGGATTTTAGGCTTACCGCAGTCGTTCACCACTTTGAACGGCCAATGTTTAATGTCCGCTTGCGTTTTCTCGTCGTCGTAACGACGTCCTATCAAACGTTTAGCGTCGAACACCGTATTTACGGGATTCATTGCCACCTGGTTCTTGGCCCCATCGCCAATCAACCGTTCGGTGTCTGTGAATGCAACATAACTCGGGGTAGTCCTGTTACCTTGATCGTTAGCGATGACCTCTACTTTTCCGTGTTGCCAAACACCCACACAAGAATAGGTGGTACCAAGATCAATACCAATCGCAGTCTTTCCCACCATTTCTTCGCCAGTAGTTTATGATTTTATAATTTATTCACGTACAGTTAATACGAGTAGATGTTATGAAAATTAAAGTATGTGTAACAAATGATAACACACAATTAGACAACGATTTAAATTTATAGACACTTTGTGTATTGTGTTTAAAACTGCGCTGAAAAATTTGGTAAATAACACAGAAGAACTCAATATTTCTCGTTTAAAGAACCGCAACAGTTAAGATTTATAATTCAAACTAAGAACAAGCAGCGTGCTGCAACGTTTATATATCCCACGGAATGTTCGAGAAAATTCGATACGTTTCGTGAGCGCTGCTGTGGTCATCGCGCCGTCGCCCTACTTCAACCGCTTCCAGTAATGCATGATATATTTTAGTTTTCACTACTATTACTATATAAAATATATATAACGACAAAGTTATGTTATGGAAAATTCTCGAACATTCTCCGTTTTTCTCGTTATTTTTACAGAGTATTTACTGTTTATTTAAACTTTTTCATTTTTATTTTAAAAAGTCTATATGTGTAAGAAGTTAAACTTCCGAAGTTTTGTATGAGTTCAAAAGTAAATGGTATCAAATTATGATGTTTACTACAACTCATAATCTTCTGAGCAAAGTAAATTTACAATATGTATTTTTAGGTTTAATTAACTTTTATATTATATATAAATATGCTGTTATTAGAAAAAAATGTTTCAATTTTGAAAATTATTTTCTATAGCAAATCAAATTTAGTTGCAGACACCTACTTTAAGTAGTTAAAAGTAAAAATTCTAAGTATTTTTCTAACTAATCAAACAAAATAAGTTGTTAAATTATGAAAAGCTTAGAATAAAATAATTTTTTGGTTATGATTCAAAAATATGTATAATTATGTATAAGTGTATAACAGTAAATAAATACAAATTTAATGTAATGTATACTGTAATTTCATCAAATATCAATATTACCATTTATTTAGCATTCATGCATGATAATCTTTCTAATTGTTCATGCTATTTAAAAATATTTAAAATCTACTTTTTTTTTAAATCTATGTAATAGCAAATAATTTTGTAGTTGATATTTACAAAATTTGATCTTTTAATACAAGGTTCCTCAAATGTTGTTCTTATAGAAACGTAAATATATTTAAAATATAAAAATTTAAGTACTTAGCATTTCAATTTTTAAGCTTACTAACAATACTAACCTTACTATAATAGCCCTAGAAGTTAATTTATTAGCAACCTACCTGTAGCTAATTTAGTTTTGCTAAACATTATCGACATTTTTTGTCTTTATCGTTATTTTTATCTTTTATTTCTGAGCAGTATGATAAATATATTGATTTTATAAATAACCGATTTTTGAATTTTAAACTCAGTTAGGGGAAATTTTTTCAATATTAAGTTCAAAAGTTAAATTGCTTTTACTGCATTTTAGTATTACTTATAATAGTGAAATGGCTTTTTCGAAATACATAACCACAAATACTTACCAAAAATCGAACACATGGTTAGATGCATTAAACGATATTTGTCTTTGATTGACTTCTGTGACACCGGATATTGACAAACTTAGTTATAAAAAGCAGGCATTTTGCTCATATTAGACATGTAGATACATATTACGTTGTATTATAATAATAATAGTAGGTACCCAATATATTAAAAATAATAAATAATATTTTCTTCGGTTTTTTTTTTTAATATTATTGTTTCCTTTATTAATAATAGTACCTATTTTATTATTCTTACTCTCGTATACATTTCACACGTAAATAGATATAGTAAGAAAAGGCTCCAATGCTCCATGGCTGAAAAATTTTGGGGACTACTGATTTATATAATATACATGTATTATTGTTTTTTATTTAGAATCGAAGTCTTAGATCAGGGGCTGACTGGCCAAGGAGGCGAAGGGGCAAACACTTCTCGGGTCTTTGACAATGTCAATTAATAAAAATTATACATATTTAAGTATAAAATGTAATACTAAAATATAATAGTAAAACAACATTTATTTTCAAATGAATAAAAATTAATTGAGCACTATTACCTAACTAAAAATATTTATTAATTAAAATGTGGTAATAATAGGTCCAGTTGATTAACCCTTCGGACCCCTCGATACCTAGTCCGCCCCTGTCTTAGATCATCACAGAATATACTTAGGTACCTATCAATTTTATTATGATAATCATAAGAAGTTCGTGTTTATGAATTTTCACCCAATGAATATTAAAGTTTATAAGCCTAATCAAGACAATTCCTCCCCCCCCCCAAAAAAAAAAAAAAATGTTTAAAAATGTTATTTTTATACAGCATACAATCTTCTTAACATCGTAGTTTATTATAATAAAATAATTATTGTATTGTGCTATATATAACTTAAATGTTATCTAATGTATAAAATCAGTTTAATAATTATAATATAAAATATAAAGTAAAGAATAGGTTAGGTTCAAGAATATATTTCTGTTTTTTTTTTTTTTTTTGCTGAGATAAAGGGTTAGGTTCAAGAATATATTTCTTTTTTTTTTTTTTTTTTGCTGAGATAAAGTCATAGAATAATATTATATTACTATTATTATTTATTACGTTATTGAACAAATTTAAATACCGCGGGTTTTTGTCGTTTTGTTTTGCTGAAATCAAATTTTTACAGAGTCCTTGATATTTAATCGTCAAAAAAACAAATTACGATCTTGGGTTGTTTATATCATGTTATCATACAATATGGCATTAAGAAAATAAACTGTATCATAATGTATAATATTTTATATAATAATATTTATAGGTAATTCTAAATTACTTATAATTTTATCTTTTATTTTTATTTTAGTGAATAGGTTACTATAATATAATATTGTAGTGTTATTATATCTTAAAATCTTAAATTTAGTGTTTATTTTGATTACTTTTTTTTTATTGTTTGTGTCCCGGGGTTCAGACGCTAATTTAAATTCAAAAATGGAGAAACCACAAAAAATTCCCAAAGTTGCCAAAGTATGTAATATGACGATTATAAAAAATCGTTTTAAATAATTAACCAGAGTATGTAATGTAATTTTTTATTACTTAAATTTGTGTTTTAGGTGAAAAATAAAGCACCCGCAGAGATTCAAATCACTGCTGAACAGCTTTTAAGAGAAGCAAAAGAACGTGATCTTGAAATTGTACCACCTGTAAGTACTTTAATTGATGAACTTAAACTTTATTGTACAGTATATTTTAAATTTTTTACTAAAATATTTGTAATATGCATCTCTATTGAAAAATATAGCCTCCCAAACAAAAAATCTCTGATCCAGTAGAACTAAGAGATTATCAACACAGAAAACGCCGTGCTTTTGAGGATAATATAAGAAGAAACCGTACAAATATAAGTAATTGGATAAAATATGCTGCTTGGGAAGAAAGTCAGAAAGAAATTCAAAGGTAAATCATATTAAATTAATTTAGCCGTTTGTAATAAAAAAATTTCAAATCACATTATCTTATGCTGTAATATCTACTCTCAATTATATTTTTTTATTCATTTATTAGTTTTATATGAATTCTAAACCTGATTATGTTATTTCCGAGTTAGAAACATTCAATATAATAAATTTGCACTTACTAGGACCACTTTTGGATTTAATTATCAAAACTAAAAGTAAAAATATTATTTAATCCTTATAGGCTTTTATTGATATTATTATTTTAAAGTAAGTTATAACTGTAGAATATTTTAATTTTAAAATGCTCACTACTCTCTTTAAAAACTTAAACATATCCATGTTATTAGTCCTAGCCAATATTTATATATTTATATTTAATGATAGTTCAATCTATTCCAATATTAAAGCTAACATCATAAAGTTATTTCTATTGAATCCAAATTGTCTAGTTGTATATTTGTTAGATACATATGAGTTTGAAGTCATATTAATCTAAATATTTTTTTTTGTATAATTTAAACATTTTATATAATTTAACACAAAAAATACTTTTTTCAACTCAACTCAACTTTAATCAATTATTATTTAGCTCAACTGTTAATATTTTGTTGAAAATATGTGCTTATACATTATGTAAGTTTTATCTAATCTTAATTTGTAAGATTATCCATTATTTGATTATTATACACTTTAAACTTAGTATTTTTTCTATTTATATATTATTATTCTAAATTTATGTTGTTTATAATTTTAATTTACATAATTATGTTTTTATTGAATTTATCTTAAGAGCACGATCAATTTATGAAAGAGCACTAGATACAGATCACCGAAATATAACATTATGGCTAAAATACGCCGAACTAGAAATGAGACATCGACAAGTGATGCATGCCAGAAATCTTTGGGATCGTGCTGTTGTCATCATGCCTCGTGCAAATCAATTTTGGTACAAATATACTTATATGGAAGAGATGTTAGGAAATGTTGCAGGTAAAATTTAAATTAAAAAACTAACGTTTTTGCAATTATTATTTTAAAAATTATTCTTAATTATTTTTAGGAGCTAGAGCAGTATTTGAACGATGGATGGAATGGGAACCACCAGAACAAGCTTGGTTGACTTATATAAAATTTGAATTACGGTACCATGAAGTTGATCGTGCAAGAAAAATCTATAATAATTTTGTTATGGTACATCCAGATGTTACAAACTGGATAAGATATGCAAGGTAAATTATGTTCTTAGTTAAAATTTAAACGTTTTTAATTACTTTTTTTTTTTAGATTTGAAGAGCAAAATGGCTTTATTGTTGGAGCACGAAGTGTATTCGAAAAAGCAGTTGAATTTTTTGGTGATGATCATATCAATGAAAATTTGTTTATTGCATTTGCAAGATTTGAAGAACGGCAGAAAGAAGTATTAAAATTGATTAATATTATTTATTTTACATTTATTAAAGAATACACAATATGTGAATATTATTTTTTTTAAATTTTATTTAAGCATGAACGTGTGCGAGTAATTTATAAATATGCTTTGGATCATGTCCCTAAAGACAGATGCCATGATATTTATAAAGCATATACAATACATGAAAAAAAATTTGGTGATCGGACTGCAATTGAAAGTGTTATTAGTAGTAAAAGAAAACTACAATATGAACAAGTATTTAATAATTCTAAATTTAATTAAAACAATGTTTCAACTATTTCACTTTCAGGAAGTAAAAGATAATCCAACAAATTATGATGCATGGTTTGATTACTTAAAATTAGTCGAAAGTGAAGGAAATTTAGAAGTCATTCGAGATACATATGAACGAGCAGTTGCCAATATACCCCCTTCAAATGTAAGATTCTTTTATTAATAAAAGACAAATGTTAATTAGTTTTGTTTTTTAATTGTTAAACCTGAATCCTTAATCAAATTCTATAGTTTTTTTTAACTTTTACAGGAAAAGCATGCATGGCGTCGATATGTTTATTTGTGGATAAATTATGCTCTGTTTGAAGAACTAGAAGCTGAAGATGAAGAGCGTACACGTGATGTTTATCAGACATTTATTTCTACTATACCTCATAAAATATTTACATTTTCAAAAGCTTGGTTATATTATGCACAATTTGAAATACGACATAAAAATTTAACTGCTGCAAGAAAACGAATGGTAATTTTTAGTAGTTTTAAATAAATTGTGTAGTACTATAGTTTATTGACTTTGCAGGGTGTTGCATTAGGTTTATGTCCCAGAGATAAACTGTTTAGAGGTTATATTGATTTGGAAATACAACTTAGAGAATTTGAAAGATGTCGTATATTATATGAAAAGTATTTAGAATTTGGATCAGAAAATTGTGTTACTTGGATTCGAGTAAGTATTAATTAGGTGTCTAGTCTAAGCATATATGAGGCAGTAACGCAATTATTAAGTTTTTGCTTACCAATTAAAATTAATATTAATTTTAGTTTGCAGAATTAGAAACCGTATTGGGTGATATAGATCGTGCTAGAGCTATTTATGAATTAGCTGTAAACCAACAGCGATTAGATATGCCAGAAGTTCTATGGAAATCTTACATCGATTTTGAGACATTACAAGGGGAAACAGAAAAGGCGAGAAAATTATATGAAAGACTTCTAGAAAGAACTAATCATTTCAAGGTAATGTCTTACTATTTTCATATTAGATTTTTTTTGTAGCAAATTAAAGTAGTGAACTAATAAAAATCTACTTTTTATGGCAGGTGTGGATGAGCTATGCACAATTTGAAGCTTCTTCAGAAGAGGAAGGTATTGATAATATTTCAGTAGCGAGAAGAGTGTTTGAAAGAGGTAATGAAGCACTACGAAGAGGTGGTACACCAGAAGAAAGAGAAGGCATTTTACAAGCATGGTGTAGATTTGAAGAAGAATACGGAGATGAAGATAGTAAAGCTAAAGTTAAAAATATGTTGCCGAGGAGAATTAAAAAACGAGTGCCTTATACTTCAGAAAATGGAGTAAGCAAACTTTTGATTTTAATTTAAAACAATGTTACAGTATAATTGTATTTACTGAGTTAATATTTGTTTAATTTTTTTCAGAGGGACAAAGGATGGGAAGAGAAAATTGACTATATTTTCCCAGAAGATGATGCTGCAAGACCAAACCTTAAACTTTTAGAAACTGCTAAAGCATGGAAGAAAAGGAAATTAGAAGAATCATAAATAAATGACCAATGTGTATTTTCTAAAATTTAATAATATTATAAATTACATACCACTATGTTTTTAATAATATATTCTATTGTTTTCATTTTAAATGCCTTATGTAATTCAGAATTTTCTAAATTTGAATTCATAACTTTTTCTTGAATCTTGTAGTAAGTAACCTAATAATATTTAATTTTATACATTTTATGTTTGAATATGATATGATGAATTAAATGATAAACTTGTGTTTATTGTACAAATTAATTTGAGATTAAGGGGAATTTAAAATAAAATAGAATAAATTTAATTTATTCTGTGTATAGATTGGTAGACAATGATACTAATACCATAATACAGTAGTGAAGAATGATGCAAAACAATATTAATATCATTTGATATTAATATTATTTAAGTGCTTACATTCTCTATCCTTTGACAGTATATAAAATTTAATGATTTATTTGGGTATTGCTAAACAATGCCATAAGAATATATATTATTTTTATAGAATGACAATATGTCCAAGTTTTACAACTCTATTGAAATAAATATTTAAATTCAATATTTTAAAATAAAATGAATAAATAATAATTATTGTTGAACAAAAGTGTCTAGTGCCTAAATACCAACAAATAATATTGTTGCGATAAAAATATAGTATACTATGTTATGTAGTTTAATAAAATTGTAAACCAACATGACTTACCTTTTTTAACATAATCAAACACTTATCACAAAGACAACAACATTTTCTGACTGAAAGAGCATTTATTCTTCACTGATTTGAAAAAGATCTTTTTCCAGTGCTTGAATTATGATCGAAAACTGAACTTTTTGTACTTGCACAATAAATCATATAATATATATTTTTTTATTTATTAAATATAAAAATATTTATTTCATTATTAACTATTTAAAGTTAATATAATAGAAAACGGGTAATTTTTAGTAATACATTATAGAACATTTTACATTTAGCAATTTTATTTCAAAATTACAAAAAAATTGTTATTTTGTTAGTTGTTACAAATGCAAGATATTATATCATGACTCATGAGTATGCAATAATTTAATCACATTCATCTAATCTCACTGGATGCTCAAGTGGTATAATTGATTTTTTCTCAATATCTCGAGAAAGTGCTTTTCTCATATCTGAAAATAAATATTATATTTAAATATTTTTTTTATTTAACAAATCCGACAATAAGAAGGTAAGTGTGTATTGCTCTATTGTACATTTGGTGTCGATTGGAACACAATTATAGATACATGGCAAATTTTTGTGATTTTGACAAAATTCTAACTTCTTATATATAAAAAAAAAAAATTTGTTCTAATGTATTTTTAATACATAATTATAAAAGATTGACTTTTTATGGTCTAGTGTAGCATAGTGGTTGGCTTCAGATGTTTTTACGTTCTAAGGTTACGCATAGCTCCTAGATGGGTGGTTACCTGTTTTAATGATAAATCCTGGACATTTTTAAATGTATTTTAAAACTATAACCTCTCCATAATAAAATCCAACTACAGGCTAATAACCATTTTGTTAAAGCCTAAAAAACTAAAAAAAAAAATGTTTATTGAATTCTCATAAAAAATTAAAAATCTAGTATCATTTTTTTTTTCATGTATAAATTAAAAAATCAATAAACATTCTGGTATAAAAACAAAAATGTTTATGAACTTTGTCAAAATTCTAACCTTAAACACTTATAAAAAAATAATTGTGACTATACATTTTTAATATTTTTAATTGAAAAATTAATAATTTAAGAAGAGCTTTGTATTAATTTTCAAGCATTTTTACCCAGTAAATCATTTTTAGCCAACATGTATAAAACAAATTAAAAAAAAATTGAAATTTTCTTATGTTTTTAAATAGCTCAAAAATAGTCAAAATATTTTGAAAATTTCAAATATCTATAATTTTTTACTGAAAATAATGAGTTACTCAAAAAAAAAAAAAAAGTTGACTTGTGTAAAACTTTTCATTTTTTTTTTAATTTTCCATATTATAAAAATAAGTACTGAGAGTTTTTAAATTTGAGCTCTTTAAAGTTCAAACTAGATCTAATTTTTTATCCATAACCACCCCATATTTAAAAATTGAAGCATTTTATCAACAACTTATTGTGTATAGATACACAAGTAAAACATAAAATCATAAAATTAAAACATTCATTGTTACACTTAAAAATCTAAAAATATGTACCATATGCATCTTCGTCAGGATCTCCAGAATAATATTCTAATACAGTACGATATACTGTATATCCTAAACTCTTGTACATTGATATAGCAACTGTATTGCTGACACGCACATAAAGATCAACAAACCATGCATCTTTTCTAAAAATCATTAAAACATTAGAAAATATTAAAAAAATGTTTAATAAAAATTTACTTTTCTGAAATTTCTTCTAACCAATTCATTAATACACCTGCAACACCTAATCTTCTGTATTCTGGAGCAACAGTTAATGCAGTTACATGACCATGCCAACTATCTGGCTGTCCTTCAGATTTTCCCATAACTAAATACAATTTACATTTAAATATTATTAGTATCAGGTAGAACCATGGACCAATGGCAAATTCAGAGAGGTGGGGCAGGGCGTGCCTCCCCCAGCCCTTATTTAGTTGAAAAAAATGTTTCCATAAAATAATTGTGTTGGAGCATAAGACGTATTTTTATATCCCGAATAGCCAGCTGGTGGTTAAGTTTACTTTTGTTATAATTATTATTATTATTTATATTAAAATTAAAAATAAATTATAATCATTTTTGGGCAACAATGCTCAATATAGTAGGCATATCGTTATTGTCATTATCAAAATGTATATATAACATTATACTAGTCATCAGATAACAATTTAAATTGTACAATACAATTATACAAAAATATCTGATTTTCTTTGTATTATGTACTTGAGCAGTTTTGCTTCACTATTTAGATTTCAGTATTAAACTGTCTAATGTCTGATATTTTTTAAATAATATAAGATAAAGTTTTATATTTGAATTAAACTGTAATTAATTTTATTTAAATATAAATTAATACAAAAAAACTTCTTACAAAATAGAGATGTAAGTATAAATGAACTTATGAAAAATTATAAATATTTAAAGTATATATTAATACTTAAAATAGTACTTACTTAAGTAAAGTATTTATTTTATATTTTTGTAATTATTTTCCTACAGTAATCTTGATTCATTGTTTTTATACAAGTACATACTTATCTATATTATTATTTCTAGATAAAATGAAATCTTAAACATATTTGGAAAAATACTTATTGTTTTTCATTTAACATGAATATGATTTTAACTTAAATAAAAGTTTGACAAAAATCGGAAGACCAATACAATTAATCAACATAAAAGTTTACCAAATGTACGCCCTCCCCTAAGAAAATTCCTGAGTCCGCCCCTGCCATGGACTAAAACAATATCTTAGAACTCAAGGGTAAAGAAAAAATAGTATACAATATTAATATATTATAGTAATATTAATGTTTTTTGGACTAAGTAAAAAACTTACTATAACCCATTATCTCTCCAGTAGGAGATTCAGCAACTTGAAAATACTCTGGCCAATGTGCAAGATATTGCATATAAAATGGTATCGCATACTGTATAATGTATAAGTTAAGCTTAAATTTATAGTATAAATAATTATCTATTAAATAATGCTTGTTTAAATTTAAATTATACACAATAATAAATAATAAATACACAAAATATTCAAGTATCTAAAAACTCTCAATAAATACAATTATTAAAATTAATTCAATGTAAATTGTGTTAAAATACACAGTAACACTGAAGCTAACCTATTTATTATCAAATAGTACAAAACTTTAATAAATTATAATAAAACCTACAGATTTCAATAAATTGTGTATTTTTATTTTTTTAGAATTTGTATATTGTATGTTTAAAAAAAAGGATACAGTCTCTGTAAGTGTATCTAGATTTCTGAAATAAAAACATAGATTAAAAAGTTGATTTAATAATTAGTGGCTAAAATTATAATAAATAAATTAGTCAATATTTATATTATATCTAAATTTGTCACATAATACTTTTCAATCGAATACTTAATTTTTATGGCATAGGTTATACATAATATTAACATTAGATAATGATCATTAAAATTAGATTAATTATAATACATATTTTAATAAACTAAAAAATTACAAATCTTAACAAAAAAAATCAAATTAAATATCTGTATAAAATAACTAATATTTTCTTGCTTTTATATTAAAATTAGCGTGGCCACTAAACTAGATTTATGTTGTGTTATCAAGTGTTAAAATATTAAGCAAATATTAATTTTAAGTTTTCTACTGACATTTTTACATTACTTTTATACTTAAAGATGAGTGCTAATAAATCATCAAAAAAAAAAAAAAAAACCAGCTATCATGCTAGTTTATTTTAATTCTAATATTTATAAAATAAAAATTTGATAAAATTTAAAACAGGAATTTTTAAATTGATAAACGGTTAAAACTTAAGTTATATTTTATAACACCATTAGAATTTTCAATTAATAAATTGAAGCATAATACTCACTTCATATAATAACAATACTTATTCTACCAAGAATTGTAAATATTAAAATGAATTTATCAAAATTGGGAAAATTTATATTAATTTAAATGGTTTCTATTTTGAGGACAGATTTTTATATTCTTCTATTATTGTTTGAGTATTAAATAATTATTTGTATTCATGGATTTTCGATACGTTTCGTTTTTTTAAAACCAGATTTAAAAACTTGTTATTTAGATTGTGTTTACTACTTTGAAAAATAAAAAAAGCTTTATTTGGTCATGACAAAAATTGTATTATGTATTTATTATTAAAATAATTACTATACAAACAAACTTAATAAAATAATTGAGAATCACAAAATGTAATTACTATCAAGATATTGTTTAAATATGTTTATAGTAAAAAATCGCTTACACATTATTGAATTTAAATAAGTCATCACAATTGAATGGTCGTAGTGTAGTCATTTTGTTGTCAATTTTGACTATTAAATATTAAAAATCTGAAAAATTAATATAATGTGTTAGATGTTAGATGAATTACACATTTATTAGTAAATACTAAATAGTAATGAAGTAAGTAAGAAGCATAATAAAAAAATAATTTCTAAATATAATATGTACCCACATAAAAAATATAAAATTGTTAATTCAATTTTATTTTAATTATTTTATGTGATAACATTTATCAAAAATAATATAGTTGAATATTCTATGGTGTGTGGTTTATAACAGCCGATAATATTTATGAAACCTTGGTTAAATATGAGGTTAGTTACCAACTTTCAGACAGGTTTTCTAATCAGACATCATTATCTATATTGTGCATATGCATGACTATTAAAATATTGGAAACATAATTGTAAAGAATTCGTTTTAAATTTTAAAATTCTATTCTATTCAGAATTCAAGTATTTAATAACGTCAAACTAATCACTTTGTTTTTGGTTACATCTCATTATTCCTTTAATATTTTACGATATTCGTTTAAATATTCATTGCTTAAGTTACCTTATTAAATCAAAAATGGCTTTAAACTACAGTTCTATCAATGAAAATGATGCGTTTTCATTCCGGAATCTTGAAAGGTATGTCTTTCATTTTTTATTAATAATATTGACATTATTATTTTAAAAACATATGTCTTATATTAGATAATTAAGGTTTAATTTTTCATAATTTATGTGATTAAACCATAACGCTTACCTACTTAATTTTGATTACATTAAAGTTAAAGGAACTCAACACTAAACATTTAGTTATTATCTTTTGTTAATAAGATATTATATTTATACCTCGTAGAGAATTGAAAATATTTAGTATTTTAATGTTATTTAAGTTATTTAATAATTAACATTAATGAGGACTTACTATTTATTAATGTTTGAGGCAAACAAATTGTATACTTAATTTTAAAGTTTTTATAATTTAACATATAAATTTAACTTTATGTTTTTATTATACATGGTATACATGTGATTAATTTGTATAACAAATTATAATCTCTCATTTATTTTATATTGTTTATAGTTTTATACTATTTTCCAAATGCATGATACATTTTAATTTATTGTTGATCTTTAGAAATGCAAAACTTGAAAAAATGGGACTCAAAATGCCTAGTTTTCGAAAAACTGGTACTACAATTGTTGGAGTGACTACTCGAGATTGTGTAATTTTGGCTGCAGATACTCGTGCTACATCAGACACAATAGTTATGGAAAAAAATTGTGAAAAAATCCATTACATTGGAAAATATATGCAGTATGTTTATTTATAATTTATTAATGCCTTTCAATCATTTCAATATGGTATTTTTTTAGTTGTTGTGGTGCTGGTACAGCAGCAGACACTATGCAAGTTACACGCATGGTATCTGCTAACGTTTCCTTGCAGGCATTCAAGTTCCCTGATGAAATGGTTCCTGTTGTATTTGCTGCTAGGTCACTTCGTCAATATCTTTTCAAATACATGGTAATTTAGTTTATATTTTATGCTGTTTGTTCAAGTTATTAATTTTTATATTTGATTAAGGGGTATGTTTCGGCCGCATTAATTTTAGGTGGTATTGATAACAGTGGCTCACATTTATATTCCATTTACCCTCATGGTTCAATTGATAAATTACCTTATATATCTATGGGATCAGGAAGTATGGCAGCTATTTCAGAACTTGAAAGTCGTTGGAATGAAAATCTGACTGTGAGTATAAAACATTTTAATTTATACTTGATGTTATGAATTCTTTAAATTTTTCACTAGGAAGAAGAAGGTGTGAAACTGGCATGTGATGCTATTTTGGGTGGTGTATTTAATGATCTTGGATCAGGAAGTAATGTAGATCTATGTATCATCACAAAAGATGGAACTCGTATGCTCAGAAACTACTTAACACCTAATAAAAAACCAGCCACGTAAGTTTTTTTATTTTATTATAAAGTCTTGTAAACTTATAAATCATATTATGTACATTTATTTTAGTGCTAAATATGTTTATCCAACTGGTTTGACTAAAGTTTTGCACAAAAGTGAAATCAAGTTCCAAATTGCAGAAGAAACTGTCATGGAAGTTGATTCTTGAATTTTTTTTAATATTAAGTTCTGAGTACGAATAATTATTTTATATACATTTTCTCTTTCTGATAAAACTGATTTTTAATTGGTATTGGTGTCAACGTTTTGTTTATGTAAAATATTAATGTACCAAAAAAATTAATATATTTAATATTATGCTTTATGAAAATGTTAATTAATTTTTGATTATGTATTTAAAATTTAAATGGAGTCAAGTAAATAAAATAAGAAGTTGACTGATACAACATTTTTCTAATAATTTGTACTTATATTGACTATCTTATTTTTGTATATTAAAGCTTAATGACTAAGGGCTGACAAATTTTAGATTTTTTAAAATTATTGACTATCAATAACATGTTTTTGCAGTTTATACATTCCCATATCTATCTTTATGATACTAAGTTTTTACATAATATACATTTATATATATATATATATAGTATACAACTAAATTAATTAGTTTAAAAAATTTTTTCTCCTAATACTTAATTTAGTAATAATAAAAAAAAATAATAATAACAATATTTTTAAACTGTCCATAAATCCAGTTACTGTTGTACAATTAATTATAATTTATGTAAATAATCTAAACAAAAACATATTTTAATAAGGAAAAATATGTTTTGAAGAAAATTTAAAAGTATATAGCATAGAAGAAAATGAAAAAAATGTGCGAGATGTAAGGCACTTATATTATACTTGGCAAACTAATGGCTCAAGTTTGGAGATAAAGTGAAACATATTTGGACTTTAGGCTGAAATTGTGTCGGTTAATCCAACATCAGTCATTCAATGTTTTTAATTTTTTACCCTTTATAATATTGTCACAACTAATTAGTCTGATATGACTTGAATCACTCATCAAGATTTGAATATACCATCAAGCATAAAATCTAAGCTTTTCAAAATGTCAACAATATACAAAAAAAGTAGATGCACAGCAATGTAACTGCTATACAACTCACAAAAAATTAAGTGCATCAAATACTTGCAATGGAGGTTTAACACTTACATGTGCATATATACACCAGTGAGTTGTGTTTATGGTCATATAAATGGAGATGCCTCAGGAGTTTGGATAATTTTTATGTATTTATTTAACAAATAATTTAATTGTAATATAATAATTTATTTGTATTCTAATTCAATATTTATTTAACAAATATTTCTGAATGAGATTTAAAAAAATTAATTAAACTTGAAACAACATCTTTTAACCCAATAGTTTCAATGTTTGCATTAAAGCTCACATATATTGGAGTTGATGTTTTCAAGCTTTTTGTTAGTGTGTTAGCTATTGATTCAGATCTACTATCAGGATCTGTGCTAAAAATAGCACTAGATATTGTATCTGTGCTATTTCTTTGTGTCATAGCAACAGATAAGCATGAAAAAGTTTTATCTTGACTAATAACAACAAAAAAACAATTATCAAAACACAATATTTGATTCAATAAGACGACGCCTAATACTTCTGATGTAAATGAAAACTTTTTAATTTTAGGTTGAACGTACTCTATAGTGGCAATCTCTAGATTTTTTTCAGGAATCTCCATTTCATAAAATATACTGAAAAAAAATCAACAAATTTTACTGATGAATAAAATATTTTAAAGGACCAAAACTTAATACTAAATGGTGAATTATTTAAATATCAATAGATATCAAATTTTTCTTGAAAATCTCTCTACTGATGTGTCGGATAAAATAATTAAGCTCATAAATTTAATTAATGCAATAAATTATCAATTAGCAAGCCAAATAGAAAATTATAAATTAACGTTAAATTACTTAAATATGGTTGATAGATGTATGCCTTCACCATCAATTTTAATTTCAAACGATTTGTACTTTAATTCTGAATTAAAATAATAATAAACTTATTTTCAATTGTTTAAGTTACGTTTACGTCGGTTGAAGACTTAGTAGTTGATAATGTTGAATATACTCATGTAGATAATAATTGTTATCTGTATCGTTATTCCGGTTATTCGTTACTGTATGGTTGCAAGCAGTTGTAAACGTCCGTGACCTGTTGGAGTAGTTATCGTGATGAGTACTATCGATTATTTATTCTACATGTCAAAATTCCGTGTATTCGATTGTTTTGCTTGAACTATCGATTTTTACTCGATAGTATCAACTATTTGGTTATATGACTACAACAGTGTTGTGGTATCAAGTATCAACAACCACCAATTTGCAATGAACGGCATGAACTGTGGTAGTTCCATCCCAAATTCTCAAATACTACCACTATTACCAGTTACAACCATAATTTAAAATTTAAATCAATGATTACAACTACTGAGTACTAAGTACTGGTTCTTCCATAGTTATTAGTTAGAACTTTGAAGCACGGTCTTAGACTATAGGTTTATATTATTTATTATTATAACACGATGTAAAGAATATAAGATGATAACACTGCTTGACCAGAAGAAAAAAAGAGTCTCTGTTTTGACAATGGTTTTAGAATACCTATTATGATTATCTTTTAATACCATAATTTTAAGTTTCAACTATAGTTCTTCAAATAAGATCTATCGGGAGCACCACATACTTCGAAGGATAGTTTTTTTAATAATGGTATTAGAACTACTATTACAATTACAATTACCTTATTACATTATTATTTATTATTACAATTATTAAATAAATAAATATTGTATTTGTAATGAAAAATACCTAAATTATATTTTAATTGGATATTTTTAACGTTAATTATTCATATTGAATCGAATTTTTAGTTTATGAAATATTTTATTCAATCGTTTAAAAGTTGACATTATTGACAGTTAAAAATTATATCAATATTTTAGATTGTAGACATTGTAAAAAATTCGAAATTATATTTTCTTACATACCTACTTTATTATATTTATTACATCTTATTCAATAATTAAGTTATTAAATTAAAATTAAAATTATACCCTAATCATATCATAACATTCATTACACAACATGGAGGTCAAACAAAATGTATAAAAAGCAATATTATAATAAATAAAAATTAATGTAGGTATATTATGTGTTTTTACAATAATTTAAAATTTGATTACCTTACGCAAGAGTTGGAAAATAAAATTTTAAAATTAGTACGAAAAAATTTTATTTGTAGATCTTTATGACAACATTTATCCTTGCAATATTTGGTCACTGGAAGAAAAAATATGCTGTTGTGATAATTAATATTAAATAATAACTTAATTGTAAGTTTTAACAAGGTTGATTTTTAAATTATTTTACCTTCTTAATCAAATAACAAATAAGTAATAGCTATTTGTAAATTTGTAACAGTGTAATACCAAAGTATAGGAACAACATAAAATATAAAAAAACATCAATTGAAGTGTTTCTATAGACTTCTAATGAAGAACATAATTACACTTGTAAATATGTAAAAATTACAATGTTTTTCAATACTTTGTGGAATTCCATGGTATGATCAAGCCGTGAGTACCTAAATATACATTTCAGATTACAGTAATCCATATGACGAGATCTAAAAATATAAATTTATTTACACTATAGTAACTAAAAATATTGTAAGTATACAAAATTATAAAAATTAAATTAAATATCAGGTTTATAGGATTAGGTACAATAGTTAATATCTACTCGTACATATTATTTTACTTACAAATTTACGATATTTTTAACATATACCGTGATACAATAAATTGTGAGTGCAGTCCGGCAGTCAAAAATACTATTGTTGATTTATGATATATTCATATATTTATCTAAATAAAAACAGGTAAAATTATATGAATATTGGTGGTCAATAATAATAATTATATAGGTAGTACCTACCTATTTATAAATACCACACTACCTATAGAATTTTTACATTGACAACAATAATATAATACATCCAAATTATGAACAAAAAATATTCATAAATGTATTTTAGATAACATAAATTTAAAATTGTTGTAACATGCTTTCATTTTGCCATGAATATAAATGAACTCTAGGTATAGAATAAAAGACAATATGACCCTAAGCCTATAACCTTGATAGTTGATACACTAAATTCGTTTTTATTCAGTATAACGACAAAATATAAAAAATATTATGTAGAGAATAAAAAATGCAATCCGTACGATTCTAGGATATAATTTTGTTACACCAGTTTTGATTTAGTTGAATTTTTTTCTATGTAGGTACCTAACCTATACGGCTATACAAAATAATAAAATTAAAAAAATATATACACTTTTACACGTATGAGTACACAATGATGTAAATATTTTTATATATAATATATATATACAATGATATATAAATACATTTACAAAATAAAAAAAAAAATATTAAATTGTATTTATAATTTACAATTTGCAGAAGGTGTGTATAGCGTGTATCATAATATTATAATGTAAAATTATTATAATATGACATGAATATACGCATGATGTTTGTAAGATGTCATACGCATTATTTGTTATACACAGTATTATTGACTCATTATAATCATGTTCAAATTTAGTTTTTTACGGTGCCATGCCTAGGGGAGGAAGGTCAGGGTACAGGGGTTATATATCCTTATCCATTGTAATAATTAGTTTTTTAAGTGAACCTTATCGTCTCTAACCTAGAATTATTTGTATTTCGTACTATATCTACTACTGAATACCTTCTTCCTTAATAAATAAAAATTAGAAGAGATCATAGAAATACGTACTTCCAGCTATATATTATGCTATATATCATGGTAAAAATTAAGATTTCCGAAAAACATTTTTTATAAACATAATCATATACCTATAGACACAGCTATGAACATGCAACAATTAATTTAGTTTTAAAATTCATGCTATAATCCATCATTCGTAAAATGTGAAAATTAAATATTTAAGTAGGTACATCAGGTACATGGAGATGAAATCGGCTAACAACAAATCTTACAACCCATATCGATGTAAAAATGAATTTTTTCTTGCGAATTAAAAAGATGCTATTTCATCAAAATTCAAACTTAGTTATAAAATTCGCAAGCCACTCCTCCTCCCCTCACAAAATCAAAATTACATTAAGTAGCCGGCAATATAAATAAAAATGTATATTTGTTATAAGCTTGCAGGAGTAGCAGTACATTATCTTAACAAACTAAAATTTGTCATTCTCCAAATGAAATTCATTCGGTGTACAATCTAAATCCAATTGATTATTTAAATAGAACTCAACCAGGTCATCTAATACAATTTAATATTTTTACATATTTTATTTATTAAGTTGGTTGTTATAGTATTATATAATAGGTATATTATCAAAGTATAGTAAATTATAAGTCATATTTATACATGCAAATTATAAATTATTTTATGTTAATAGCCTTTTAAAAATGGTTTACAAATTATGTGTCATATTTATAACAAATAATCCATATTTTTTACACACAACAACTACTTACCTATGTAATTATATATAACCAGCAAAAAAAATTATTTTTAAGTTAAATTAAACCAAATTTTAAAATTTAAATATTGTTTTGTTTTAAAAATATTAATAAATAATTGTTACTCCTTTTCAATTGAAGTTACTTTCTCAGGACATAAGCACTTCCATACATATATTACAATCATACGAATATAGGTAACTACACATTACAAGTTACAAAATAATGCTGTAAAAACATTCCGAAATATTTCATTGCGCAGTGCAGGGTATAGGTGTGACATGTATATACATAGTATTTGTATAACCCTATCTAACATTCTATAGCCCATTATTTTTATAAAATTTTAGATTTAAAATATTCAATATCCACGATCACAAACACAATTAACGGCTATTTGCATATGATTGAATTTAAAACACTATTTTTTACGACACATCAAATTTGTCGGTCTACCAAAGTATACAAATACAAAAGAAAGCATAATCAATTGATGATCAAAAAAATTCTGCGATGATGTCGCCATTTGCAATATTAAACAATTCTAAACTATAAAAATTATAAATTTAAATAATAACTGCTCGCAGCTTACAAATATATATATAGCCTACCATAAGCGACACTATTGACTTTAATTTCTAATTGATTAATTAGTAATTTCCCAGTCAAGTGCCACTAATGGATTATTCCTAATTTCATTGTATTTTTGTTCTGTCACCACAAACATTTATTGTGTTAAATAGTACAGATTGTGCATATTTTAATAAAAAAATATTAAATAATTAAATAAACAGGTATACTTAGATATACATTTTATAATTGTTTAGGTGATAACTGATAAGTATATCAATTAATATCAATGTAATAGGTATGTTATGTTATATTTTAAAAATAATCATAATATTAGGTATATTAATATCTATATAATTTTATAGAATTTACATTAGTTTATATTAATTTATAGTTATATTGATCTGACTTAACACGAGGAATAATTTTCTTGTATAATTGTACAAAACTACAAAAGTAATTTCAACATATTAAATATTTTATAAAAATTAAAAATTATTTAAATAATATTTAACTTAAGAGGGAGGCAAAATGATAAGGTTGCCCTCTCAATATTTTTTCTGGGAAGGAAAATGCTTCCTCGTGCCATCCTAAATACCGTTTATGTAGCCTATATATAGGATTTATATATGTATCTACTCTCGCGAGTAACTGATTGAAACACCTCGTCAGCACCTGCATTGCTGTTCCCATACTAAATTATATATCTATGTCTATGTACAATGTACTTATGAGTTATGACTACCAATATTATAGAATAAAAAATAAAAGTCAACATGTCTGCCTAAATAATTATCATTCCTAATATTAGTATTCAGTATCTATATGTGTACATCTAATATAACCATTGACCGTTGTATTTATAACCAATATCATAATATATAACTATAAATAGGTACCAAACTATTATATGTATTTTATTATCATTATTCACTCACAGTTTGTGTTTGTGGTACTCACGAAAAGGGGTAGTGGGGTAGTAGGTGTGTATGTTTGTATTTGTGTATATTACG